TTATTTCTGCAAATGCACCGTGAAATTACGGAAAATTATTTTCCAAACGTATCGCGTATCAGCCGTTTAATTCTTCATCCGGCTTAACAACGTGGCTTCATGACGATGGGAAATTCCGCATTGAATTTTGGTGACTTTCTCTCTCTCTCTCTCTCTCTCTCTTCCCAGCTGACAGTTATCTGACTATCTACTGCGTATATTCGTGAATTATTGTTTCGTTTCGTCAAACCTTTTGTGTGTTCCTAAGCATGTAAAAAAAACGAATGCAACCGTCCTGTGACCGACTGTACACTGCAATCATGTGGCGTTCTCTCGGCAAGTCCGGTAACTTTTAATAAGAAGCCGTTCCGATCACATTACGTCGATTACATCGATATTTTCGGGAACCGTAGCCGAAGCGAGGAATCCCAACGAACTTGGGGAAGGGTACTTTACTTTCAGCGTGAGGGGAATAAATCATTTCGCGAGACACACTTTTCGCCTAAAAAGAAGCAAGAGGAGCGCACTCCCCTGCGAAAGACCTGTGAAGGACGAGGGGTCGGGGATCCTTATTCCGAAGTATTCCTGAAGTTGAAACAAATTCCGCGAACTTAGTTGATTCGATTATTAGTTCGCGCCTCGAAAACTTCTTCTTCTTCTTCTTCCTCTTCTGTCTCGCCCTCTCTCTCCTCGTCTTTCTCCACTTCCACTTCCGCCATACGTTCGATACTCGGCTTTACCTATCGTCGCCGGAATTGTGAGTGCAGGCGGCCGTGTAATTGCAAGTCTTCCAAGGAAAACGGAAACTCGCCCCGAAGTCGGCGAAGGGGCAAGCGGGGAAGCACGGCGGAGGGGAGAGGGTTGGAAGTGCCGACGACGTGCATTAACTGGATCCGAACTTTCGATAGAAATTTCCATTACGTAAGAATCTGGAAGACAATACCGCGCCGGAGGAAACGTATACCCTTCACGGTTATCTGGGGACGGTACTTTACCGGGAGATCGCGTCGCTAGGACGCAATCGAAGACTTCGTATTATTACTTCATGAACCGTTATCGAGCGCGAAGTCTCGCTCTCCCGGCCGTCGATTTAATTGCCGATCACGCTGATTGCCAATAAATAGGCTGGAAATAACGACAACGGAGAGGGTGATAATCTTTCTTAATGGTTGACTATTATTGAAAACAGAGAAAAATGGCTTGCCGCGCACAGCTCTCAAATACTGTGGTGATTTTGCGGTCACCAGCTTTAAATCGATAGACAGAAAAAAATTAGTATCAAGAGAAATGGAAAGGTTTGAAATTTCAGAAAAAACGATTTTCAGTTTGTTCATATTTTCGAATAGCCGGAATTGTTAGAAATATTTCTCCATTTACCGAAGTGAAAAATTCGAAACATTGAATTCAGAAGAGCAGAAAATGTGAACCGATGCACGAACAGTCTGAAGGCCGGCGGCGTAGAGTTGCGCGCACGCAATTGTTAGGAAATGAAACAAATAAAAATGCAATAAAGCCGATCTTTGAAGTTTTGTCGGGAGATAACTTGTTATTTAGATGCATCGGTCATTACAGCTAAACAGCTAATGAGAATTTTCATTCAATTATATGCAAAATAGCTCGAAAAGATTCTTTCGACATAGCCGATATTGTTGCTTTTGCTACCTATGTAGCCATAGCGATATTTAATAGTCAAAACCTAATATAAATAGTCTACGAAAGGATTTTCTATTCGATTAATTTCTGCGCTTGTAGTAACCAAGCTGAATTTTATCGCGTATTTTTTGGATAATAAGAATATGATATTTTTAGTGGAAATATATGGAATTTTTTCATGATTTATTGAAAGCAAGTTTTATTTTTATACGAAACTGTATATCCTTATTTATATGTGAGAATATGAGTTTCGAGTTGATATTAATTATTTCTCGTGTAATTAGTCCATTTTACAAAGACCCGAGAGAAACTTTCCTTTGCGATTTTTTTATTACGCAGGAGTTTCCACACACACACACACACACACACACACACATGCATACACACATACATACTACATACATTCATCGCAATTTTTATTTCTCGAATAAGATTTTCCCTCGACTCTGTTATACTTGTTGATTTCATAAAAGAGAGATAAATTTCGTGTATCTCTCGATATTTTAAGTCAATCCGGACGTGTACGGATTAACTTGTCGCAAAACCAAGGAATCGCATGGTCTTGGCGATTGTAGCGACAATTGCAAAAACTGCGAAGGACCCGGATTATATAGTAGACTTCACATTGTAACTTGGCGAAATCTTTACACAGCTCGCAGCAGAGCGGCGCGGAGATTTCGGCGAGCAATTTCGAGGCAGGTGTCGGCTGCACGTCAGAAAAATGAAAAATATTCGATAAATCTTCCGCTGTCACATAACACACGTACATAAGTACGCACACACGCACACATATACGATCTCTCACCCTCTTCAGTTTCCAACCGCGGAGGCAACGTCGAACAACGTAGCGGGTACACGCAATATATTTCTCGACGCTGTTATACCTCTTCATCTTCAATCCTTTTCATTGTCACAACCTAACCTGCTTTCTCGCCCTTACATACCTCTCTCTCTCTTTCTCTCGTCGAACTTTCTCTTTCTGTCTACACGCGTGCGGCACCGAGGGAAGCTTTTTATGCTGCGCGTATGTCGGCCCCAGTGAATAGTGTTTCAATAATCGTATATCATTGAATTTTCCCGGCGAAATAGAAAATTTCGCTTTCTCCAATGCCTCCGAGCTGTGTGTTCCGCGTTCGCCGGTGACTTCGGACCGGAAATTGAACGACAAATGTGACTAGACCGTGTTTTCTTTGCCGCAAGAATACATACAAACGATCCCACGCGTACCCGCGACGGGGAAGAAACTACCGTAGCCAATGGAATCAATACGAGGACTTTCGGTCTGAACAATTCCGCAGAGTTGCCAGAGGACCATGCAGAGTTTCTACGTACCATGGATTTCTAGATCCCAGGAGTCTAGTACGAGTAAACTCCAGACAATCGTAACGGACAAAATTATTTTCCGCAAACAATATCCAAGACACTTTCGATCTGAACAATTCTGCAAAATTACGAAAGATCCATATAGAGATTTTATGCCGAAAGAAACTTATTTAAGGCTTGTAACTATTATCATCACAGTGAAAAAAAATTATAATCAGGAGAAGCATTTTTTTTCGTAAATGTTACTACTTTTTATTAGAATTTGGTAATAATTTTTGTTACAATATTTTTCCCGTGTAGATTTCCAAAGTCTGATTTGAGTGAAATCCAAACGATCGTAACAGACGTAATTTTTTTATACAGATATTTCCAGGAACCAGGCAGCGGGTCCGCTAGACGCTCGAAACGCCGAGCCTTTTGTGATATCCTCTGCAAAGAATATCATCCGGCGCGCGTCGATCATCCCAGCTTTAATAATTATCCATCATGCAAATTCTAATTTCCGATCTATCCGGAATGTTCCGCGTGTCTTCTCGGCCAGACGTCGGTTCGGGCGAGGCTCAATAACCCGCGCAATCCCGGGGAAGTTCAGTTTCAGACGATCCGCGCGAGCCGCCCGCTATATAAGGATCGTTCGCGCGCGCGCGCGTGCAGCGAGCGCGGGGGTCAATGACATCTATTCCCGGCCGTCATAATTCACAGTGCCTTCCAACTTCGCGGAAAGTTCCCTCAAACTTAGATTAGCGATTCAATTTGGGCCGCCAGTGAATCGCCTTCAAAATCGTTTTTTAATCGGGACACCGTGTAACGAACAAAACGTCCGGCCTCGCCTCGTCGTGCCGGGAGAGCGGCTTTTCCTGCCTCCGACTTTACCCGCTCTTACCGCCCCTTCGGTTTTACCACCCCGCATCTTCGCAGATTTTCGCGTCACTCATTCATCGCCGCCGGCTCGACGACCAGCAAAGACGACCACTTCATCCGCTAATGCTCATCCGGTATTCCGTTTCCTTCGTGCCCGTCTCTGGGATTCTATTATTTTCTTCTCCTTCTTTTCGACGAGAAAATTGACGCGTATATCTGGCTCGTTATTCGCGTGAAAAAATTGTCGAGGACATCTCGCGTTCTAAGAGCGCGGGACGTGTTTGTTTGGAAATATTAATTTCGCCGAATTTTGTAATAATGACAAAGGATAAGTTCCCTTTCGGTCGCACACACGGGGAAAAATAATTTTACCGTTGGGAAAACTTGGAAAATATTTTACTTGAGTTCGAGTAAACATTGCCTGTCCCAAATAAAAGTTCGTTAAGGAGTGTTGGAGTAATTATCTACTTGAATTAACACTTTTTCTTCCGTGCAGAACAAAATAGTGTTTTTCCACACTTACTAATTTGCGTTTGCAGCAAAATAATATGTAGATTTAGCAAAATAATCCAACAATTAGCGTTCTTAACGAATCGTTTTGTTGTCCGCGTAATAACCGAGAGATTTTGCTGCGACGGCATAAAATTCTTCGCGCCGGCGAATTATTTTTCCCGGTGGCGTTAAATCGAACGTGCAAGTTTCCAACTGAAGTTTCCGAATCTCCAAATCTGCAGACTCGTTATTCGACACTCGATCCGCAAAGGCCACGAATGTTGTCGCTTAATACATACCCCGAGCGAGAGTCCGAGTCTCGTCCGAGCAGAAATGTTCCAGAAGACTATAACAACACACAAGTAGCCGGGAAGTGTGTCGGTATTGATTTAAGACCTCCCTGTAACCCGCCGTGAAGGAGTAAACGCAGCTTCGCGAGAATCACGTTGCAAAGTTCTCTCGTGATAATGTCGAAAGCATATCGTCTCTCTCGGAGCTACGGGCAACTTATGTCCCCGCCGTACAAAGAAGTTTCGATATCGGATCGATTGATTTTACTGCAACTTCCTGTCGCGCGTTTCGGTGTGAGAGCTCCGATAAGGAACAACGTTGTAACCGTCGGTCCGCGTATGTGCGTTGGTTGCAACGTTGTTCCCGTTGTGTTTCGCTCGCTTGTTCACATGTTCACTCACCCATGGCAGGTGCGTAGATGTTCAGATAGAGGCAGTCTTCGCTCTGGTTGCGCAGATGTGGCAGTAGTCTCTTCAGGTACTCGAGCCTTCCCTTAGGCATTCGCTCGAGCGCTTCCTGCTCGTTCGCGATGTCCGGCAGCTTTTGGGGACAGACCGGACCGACCGAATCCGATAATCTGCGGAAATCGGAAATCGTTGGTGCGTTATAGCGGCCCGAAGTTTCGCCGGCGGAGAACGGCGTATTACTCGGGTCGGGACGAACGTTGTCTGGGAAGGTGAGCTTCGGGGCAAACGGATTTATCGAACGGTCTTAGTCCTGTAAACGCACGATGTTAACCTGTACAGATAGTCCGCGTCCCGATAGAAGCGATATCCTGCGTGTCAAGTGCCGGAGGGGCGAGATTTTATTTCACGGCGGAACTCGCGCCGGCGCCGCGATAAACCAATCCGTTATCATCCGTTTAATCCGTTATCGTTGCTGCGAGCCGCAGAAATTCGCGCTTTTTCGAACTCGCGGCCGGATTTCGAATGACGTTGCGACGCCGAGGATGCCAAAACTGCGTAAGATCCGCCCGGGAAAATCTTGGCATAATTTCGGGCAGGACGTATCCCACGATGCCTCCCGGACGCTTCGAGTTACGAACACTGCACGGTATCCGAAGTATCTCGAGAAGATAGCGAAGTATCTCGTGAGCGGAGATGGCGCGCTTGTTATAAGAGCGCCGCTCCCGAAACTGGGAGAAGGTCATAAATGCGATCGAACTCGCGCGCGCGGGAATAAAAATTGATTGGCCTCGACGTAACTTTCTGCCCAAGTGGCCGTAAACTCTCTCTCTCTCTCTCTCTCTCTCTCTCTCTCTCTCTTTCTCTCGCTACGAAGCAAAATTCCGATTTGGAATTCGCGGACCAGCCCGGCGATTTGTCCACCGAGAGGATGGAAAATAATACAGAGGCGGTCCTTTCGACTCGATGTTCCGCGCGGAAACACTGAAGGAGCTTCGGTCACCCAATTCATCTCTCTGAGAAGTCGCGCGCTCCTCCAAGAAAGAACTTGCAAATGAGAACTTCTCTCTTTCCCCCTTTCGTGAATAATCTGCAAGTATCCGCACGAAACTCGTTTGCAGCGCGCACTCTGCGAAAGAGAGAGAGGTCTAATTCTCGGTGTCAATTTTACATCTCGCGCGATTACGTCGTGGCGGGCACGCGTTTTAGAAAGCGCGCTAAAAAATAACGAGCCCCATGTTGTTTATTCAACGACGATGGAGTTACGACCGGCGACCCTTCGTTTCGCCGTATATATATACGCACCCCGGGAAATTAAACCACCCGCAATTATGCCGGAGGAGGGCGACGAAAAAAAGGGAAGGAAACGGGGAGGAAGTAAGAGGGAGAAACGAGGGCGGGTTTACCTGACTCCTTCCCAAGGACTCGGAGCTCTCGTCGGGGAGAAGCGGTTGCTGCCGACCGGCGGTGTGGCGTATGGTATGCCGAGGTACACGTCGATCGGCTTGAGGAACTTGGCGTACTCGAAGGACCTCGTGACGCCCTGCACATCGCCGTAGCGCGTCTGCACGATTCGTGGATTGAGCTTGCTCTTGATGGAGAGCGAGAGGGCGGGCGGCGCGATCAGGCAAACGAGTATCAAGAAGAGTTCCATCTTGCCACCCTCCCCTCGCCCGTGCTACCCGCAACTGATCACGCCCGACACGATCTATGGATCACCTCGGCACCGCTCGGCAACGATCGTTCCTCATTTACGTCCGCGCAATTAACTGCGACCCCGCAGCCGTGCTTACGCCGTTCCGGTGCTGGGCACTTCTGGAAATATCACACGAGCCGCGCGGCTCCTCTGGATCATTGATTATCGATCACGTCGCTGCACTCTCTCTCTCTCTCTCTCTCTCTCTCTCTCGATCGTTATTTCTACCCGTGGAATTTGCCATTCGATATTGCGACCTTCACGCGGCTTTTTGCCGAGGCTTGTAATTAATCTACGTTGATAATAAAAATATCCCCGATAATAATATTCGGCGTTAAATACGCCACCCTCGATGGATTCCTGTCGCATTGAGTGGCTCAATAATAATAATAATAATAATGGTCGAAATTAATGAAGACGCAACAATCGGAACCGCGAATGACGTACGGAAGACAAAATTCGCGTTCTAACAATAACGCCACAAATGATCATTAATTAGCATTCGACTCGAGATCGTTGCAACGAGCGAGATTTCAACGAATGGAGAGGGTCGCATTTTATTCCGCTCGAGCGCCTACTCGGTCGCATCAATTAATTTCGTGTTTTTGTTAGTTTTAATTTCCTGGCTGCGGCGGTTGCGCCGCCGGTTTGGCGACGTATTTATTTAACATGCCGTTCAATTAACTATATCAATATTTAATTAATACGCGCTGCGGTTTCCGCGATCCCATTGGGCAATGACAATGATATTCGATAAAAAAGGGAAAAATGGATAATTGAATACATATCACGACTGGGTAATCGATATTCCGTCGGATCGGTCTCGCGAGAGTAACGCAACGCCCTTTATCGCTCCTTCGATTATTAGCAAATTCTAATCTCGCGACAGAAAGTTTCATCCGCGACGCTGATGGGAGATAGGGAATAAAATGGCCGAAGGGAAGTAGGAAGGGGAAAGGAGACGGGGAACGATGGATAAGCGTGAGAAGTTAACGAAGTTCGATAAGCGCTCGGAAGGGAGGACGGGAGAAGAGAGGGCACTGTCTATGAAAGTCGTGCGTCCTCTATATTTTAGCGGAAACAAATACGTTGATGCGAGCTAATTAACATGCCGCTTCGAAATTCGCGACGGAAGATCTCCGCGTCTCCGGCGCAAAATATATGCACGTTTCTACTTGGCGCTCGTTGCGCGTCGTTCTTATCTGAAGTAAGATAGGAAATTATACATCTTTTTGTTAATCTCCCTTATATATGTATATGTATACGATTATATACGTTCTCAATGCAACATACTTTAAGCGAATATCTCGGGAATAATATTTTAAGTTAAAATTACTGTTATTTATTCTGAAAATTAATACGTTACTGTCGATACTGAAGTGCAAAATGTGTTATTTTAACACTTACGTATGTTGAATATCGACATAGCACAAAATGTTAAGATAACAGCAATATATTAAATTCACACAAGGGTATATTAGAAATTGAACGCAAAAGATTTAACAAAGACCGATTTTAACACGAGTACAAAATGTTTTTTTATCCTATATTCAAGTAATTTGCTAAATAATATTGGAGTGATTATTTTACTTTAAGTAAATATTGTTTGAAGAATGTAACACACTGAAAGAAAAACAGGAAAAAAAGTGCTACGTTCAAGTTATACTTACTTAATCGGAATAAAATAATGATTCCTTAGCAAATATTTACTTGAATGTAGCGCTTCTTTTTCGGTCCACATATCGAATTGAGTTCAACTTTTGAAACTCAGCAAAAATGGAGTTTTTATATATAAATTGAATTGTTGTACAATATTAAACTATCGCTTACTAAAAAGAAACAAAGCCGAAAGAGGCAGGATGTTTTTACTGAATTTGCGAGTTGCGTTTAAGCTGACAAATTTTTCCGTCGTACCACTCGCCGGAGAACGAGGTCGTCGGGAGCTTTAAATAATTTCGCATTCTATCGGCGAAGTTCTCCGGACGCTGCCGTAAAATCGTCACGGTGTTGGTGAACGTAAAGGAGAGAGCAAATCCAAAAATTAATCACGTCCTGGTGCAATTATCGCGTCTCGAGCCTGCGGCATTGTGCGGCAAGACGACGAAGGGGACTAAAGTTTCTATGAGCGAATAGAAAAAAGGACATACGGATGGTTGCAACGAGGGTGGCTGCGCAAAGGGAGGATGAGGTAATGTGAGGAGGAGAGGCAGTTGAGAGAAACGCGGGCAGGAGTAGGGGATAAGTGAGTGCACTCGTACGTGGAACCATTATGGAAATCAGTACTTATCGGCCTCGGATAGAAGGAAATTCAACGCCACGTAACGGCGTCACGTTTTCCTCGTGATCCACGTGGCGGAGAAAAAGGAGATAAGCTGTTTCGGTTCCGTCAGCCGTCCCGATAATTTCTCTTCCTTATCAATGATGCGACCTTCTTGCCGCGAATTCTATCGATTCGCGTCCTATCGATTCGCGAATCGGAGGCGAGGCGACAATTCTCTCCGAGAGGGCAGATAATAAAAATGCTTTATCGGAAAAATGTAGATCTAAATTTAATTTCGCATTAATGTCAATTTGATTCGAGATACTTTATTGTTTGGTATATTTAATACGCGCGCGCGGAGAGACCGATGTTATAATTTCAAGAAAATTAAGAGGCGTTCGCGCGGCAAAATAATATAAATCAACGAATTCGGGTTGCTTTGGCCGTCTAATATAAAAATAAGTAAGATGACAGAACATGCACGAACCTGAATTTTAATTTTCTAAGATTCTGGGGCGCGTTAAAGATAAATAAAAATGAACAGAATTAAGGACACGGGAAGAAAATAAACGAGAATACAGCTCACGTGTAAAGGAATAACGGCATGGAAACGAATGTAATTAATTACACGGAGTAATTTTCATAAACATTAATTAAGTTAAGTGGCATTTAAGTAATATTCTGTCTCCGGGTAGAAACGTGAAATCAATTAAATTTTACATTATTTTAATTAATATTTATAAGGCACAGAAGCCTAAGTTATTTTATATTAATATGATCGTTTTAATTAAACTTTGTCCTACCTTGAAAGAGTTATAGCACTGCAGCTTTCAAAATCATTTAATGTAAGTGGTTCATCACCACTTTCCGGTAGCGACATCATAAATATTCGTAATAACGCAGTTATTGACAAAGAAGAGACTTGCAAACAGAATGAGAAAGCAAACTCGCACACGCATGGTTGTTTTAGAACCAAAAAAAATGGAAAGTAAAGAAAATTAATCCTTCTCTATATGACCGGAGCATAAATTGTTTATTTTAAACTGTGATTTTAAAACATTTTAAATTCACACACAGAAAAATTACGTCATTTAAATAAAGATTAAATTCCCCATTTTACTAACAATCCGCTGAATACTCGCGTGTAAAAAAAAATATGGAAAGAGAAAAAATGGAAGAAGAAAACGGGAGAAAAATGCACGTTGAAAAAATTACACGTTCATTTAATTGGTGATATATTCGATTGTGTAATATTTAATATTCGCCCTTTAGCGATTAACGCTTACCATTCGTGCGGGTCATGGACCACGATTAGATCCCTCGCCTTTCTGAGACTTGCCGGATTACCAAAGAACAACGTCAACGATGGCGCAGTCTTAATCCGAAATCCTCCTCAGCATCTTGTTCTCATACGCTCGTTCGTTCAGAATCCATCGATCACTGATCGTTTCCTCAAACTAATTGCCGGGGTAATTACTCGTTACCATTTCGCACTCTCTCACTGCGCCACACGAACAAATCATTCGCAAGTTACAATTCGTGAAATTCCTACATTACACTGTCCGCGTCTGGCGGACAGATTTGCATAATCTACGAATTTGAATTTTTCTAGACTAATAATTGATTAAATTTGGGATGAATCCGAATCACAGGTGCCAAACGTTGCTTGCAATGTCCTGTAACATAAAAGAGACGAGCGTAATTAATTTTTGTAAATATACTGGTGAAATTTGATATTTTATATAAATTTCATCAAATTTCTTCGAGCTTTCAAAGTGCTATTACATATATTTACTAAAGTTTTTTTCTACTGAGTATAGTGTGTACTATCAGATAAATATTAAATAGTTTTTTTCTAACACCCTGTATATATATTTAATTATTCATTTCAATTTATCTTTGCAAATACATTAATTTCGCGCACGATACTTAAACATACAGCTTTCGTGGAACAATTATCTTAATTAAAGAAGGATTAATGTGTACCAATATGTTACATAATCATCTATTCTGCCGTACTTGCTTGTATCATTATTTGCGCGCGGAGAACAAGAGAAATTAATATAAGGTTATTAACAACATCATAGAGATTATGATAATATGATAATTACATGACAATAAACTAAATTACTAAATCAGCTCGTTAATATATTACCAAATCAGCTGAGAATATTGTGCACGCTTCAATGAGTCATTAACTCTCTTTGTTAATAATTAGCAAATCGAATCACCAAATTAGCCCGTGATTCAAAATCAAAGCACGATCGAACGTAACGCAAAAGTCTCTTTTGCTGTTTACTGAACATTCATTCTTAGGATCTCACTTCGGGAAAACAACGAAATACGGACAAACGTACGGCGAAAATGTCGAGGGAATGCGAGCACTTTCGCGAGAATTGTTGAAACAATAGTCACGAGTAACCCCTGATTTTTACCAACTTTTGTTTATGCGTTTTCGCTCGACAGATATATGCTACAAACTCGCTCGCTCGTTCGTTTGCTTTCTTTCAATTTAACGCGTTCCGCGCCTCCCACAGCCAGTTATATTCTCCCTTGTTTAACTCATTTTATTTGCAAATTGAACTTTAATTCGCCTTAACTAATTCATCGCGTCTTAAAGCAACTTTATATTATCTATCCTCCTTATTTATTCGCGCCCAACACCCTCTCACTTTCCTCATTTCTCCCCCACGGACCCCCTCTCCTCCCTCCTCCTCTACCGATCCGTCTTTATAATTCATCTTTGCGCTCTTGCTCTCTTCTCTTTCTCTCTCCCGTTCCCTTTCTTTTTTCCTCCCAGTGTACATTGTAACGTACACTAGGATTAAAAGGGCGAAAGTCGACGTTTAATCAGCCGAGATGGAAAGAAGGAGAGAGAAAGAAAGAGAAGGACAACGAGAGGGAATGAAAAAATCCGGAGGAATCCAAGTCGAATTCTTCGAGTAAATTAAAGTTGACGTACGAGCGAAGCCTGGACGAAGAAAAAATCAGGATGAAGATTAAATATGAAAATGTTAATTCTCGATAAGAACACGATGAATTTTCAAACCGACGGGTCGGAGGTGCGGCTTGGCAAAGCTGAAACCCCTCGAACCTTATCCGCCCCATTGTCTTGTATGAAACCGATGTAATACAACACTCGCTATAATGTCGCGCGGACGCCTGGGTGGAATCCGCGTCGGTTGTGAGAAGAAAGACGAGACTGGAATTCGATTATACGGAAGGACCATTCTCGGTAGGGCGAGCCCTTCCCGCGGGGTGATGGCCGGGCTATTTTAGCGATAGCGGAATGTGCCGCCGTCGCTCTGAACAGTGCGCCGCGAACAATTATTACGACTTGGCAAACTCAAGCAGCCTCTGCCCGGCCCGCGGATACAACTTGGCAACTTCCGGGACACACGCAAACGCGACTCTCTCCCTCTTCCTCCCTTCCTCCTTATTTGCCTCTCACTGTCTCTCTTCTTGTGGCATAAGTCGAGGTTGAGCGCAACGCGTCGTTCCGCGGATTCGTTTAACATCCGGGCTAACTATATTCAAAGGACGAGCGACGGATAATTTGTACGCTATGAGCGCGTGTAAATGGCGCGTTTGTTGGTTAATTCGCGCTCGCGAGGACGCTCGATTCCAATCCCGGAGATACGGCGAGATTCTTGCGAACTTCCGGACTTAATGCCGTCGTTCGCGAAAATTGCGCAAACTGTGTTAATTCAACTCTCGGATAAATGCGGCGGGACTGCGAGCGTAAATGAAGGAGAGGAACTCGGAAGAGTCCGCGGTTTGCAGACAGAGCAGACGGACTATCCGGCGATCGAGAAGAGGGAAAGAGAGAGGATCCCGACGATTCCGGCGTTTCCGATCTTGGCAGGATCGAGGGACCGGTGCGAGAATCCTGTCGCGAAATTCCGAATAGCACTCGCGCTGAGCCATCCTGTCCCAAAAATGCGAATTATCCCGATTCGTGTCGCCGTTCCCAATTCATGTTTCTAGATTTGATCCTCGAATAACAAGGTTGGGTCGGATCCGACTAGAGTCACGTTCTGATGCTTCTGCACACGCATTAGTGAAACGCAGCGTGTTGCGGTTTCGTGAATCTTTCAAGTCAATCTTCTCGCGGCGACTTGTAGCGTAAGGTAAATAGGACTGTATTATCTTGCCTGATATGAGAATGCCATCATATGGACAACGAAAAAGCGGAACGATAAAGATGTAGCGGAGGAGTGATCAATCGGAATCATATTCACTGATCCGTTCCGATCTCCATGCACAGGAAAAACGGAAATCCGTGAAAATGGAAAATCAAATTTTCTTGATCGCGACTGGACCGGTCGCGCTGGCGCAGCAGATGTATCGCGCGGTGCATCCGCGGGGAGGATGCCTTACGACAGAATGACAGGTACAGAAAGACGCAGCAACGGCAGTAGCAACGGCATCAGCATCGGCAGCGAACACGGGCGAGCATCGGAAAGCTATTCACGACGTGGCGCTTTCTTATGGGATTGACGGGAAGAAAAGGGACTCTGTGTATCTCGCGGAACCACGCAAAGGAAGAACTCCATTTCCGCCATATTTCTCACACAATGCCGCGAAATTGACTAGCCAGAAAATGCGGCGTTTCGCGGCTGATGCCGGGGCTGAGGGGGCGAGGGTCGGATCGGGGGTGGGGGCGAAGGGGACCCAAGAGACCACCACCGGCATCGAGCACCAATTCCACCCTCCTGCGTCGAGCCGATCGATCGATCGAAGCGATCGCCAATACGCCCTGGACCAGTGTATATACAAATGCACCACCTTGTAGCTGCCTTCCGGCGATTTAACGAAATTCCGACCATATTTCACCGGACGTTGCTGCTCGGAAAATGCGCGAGTACCCGCCGTTCTAACTTTCCCGCGTAATGCCTCGATTCGCTGACAAATATTAAACACGCCAGCCGTTCGATTCGCAGCTCTCACGCCTGCCTGCTTTATTCAGACGTAATATCGATTTAATGGTCAAGAGCGACCCATAAATCCGGATGTTTCTCCGAATACGGCAAATCTTAAACCACAGGTTAAATATCTCTGCGTTTAGGAATCGGAAAGACTCTTTGTATAATCGTGTGAGAAATGGGACGATTAAGCCACGACACGGCTTAAATCACGCGAATTTTTCATGCTGATAACCAGAATTTGTCAATTGAGCCGATAAGGCTGAATTTCCTTACTCGGCACGAATAAGCAGAATTTCGACATCAGATAAATATTTGCGCTAAATCTGACAGCTAAAATTGACAGCTAAATCTGTCTCTTTGAAATGTTTAATCTTCGCTACGTACCAAGCATTAATTATTTAATCCATTTTCGTGCGTATTCTCACTATGTGAAAGTATTTATATATAATTCTGTGCAAGCAATAAGACGTAAACTTCGCAAAAGGAAATCGATATTCTGTCGGTCAAATTATCGAATGGCATCCCTTAAAAAATGGACGCATCTCCAGCCGCGTTGGCTCTTGCTCGCCTCACTTCTCAAATGTCTCCATATGCAGATATTTCCGAATCAGCAGCGAAACCGACGGGATTAAATGTCGGCTACGCTCGGGACGGAAAATGGCCTCGTAGTACGGACATTCGGGCGGATTCTCAGGACAAGCAGCAGTTACATTTTCAGAAAGATGCGGACGCGGCACGCTAATTTCGGCATGAAACATTCGTGGGAATTCTGGGCGGTGGCCAAAGCGTGCGTATAAATAATGCCGGCTAAATGGAAAATTCCCCCGCGGGAGCGAAATTCCGCGTCTCTCTTCGCGGGACTGAACCAAATCCCCGGTAGAAGATTTTTCGAAAATGCGATGCAGCTGCGGCTGCACCAAGCGAATTCTCTTCATAACCCTCTTGCTCCCCTTCCCCTACCCTCATGCCATCCTTCGCACCCTCACCCCCTTATCTTTCTTCTGGCCCGCTTTCGAGTTTCCTCGGTACACTGAACGAAGACAAATAACTCGTGGGTTGTTTGTTGCGCCGCGGTCGTTTCTCCCGGAAACGGAAGAAACGTCGGAAGACCACCTGGGGGATCCGAGTGACCCGAGCTGGATAGAGACTTGGCGTTATAGAGTTATAGACTACGTCCGCTACGAGAAGTAATAGTGGACTCTATAAGGAGTTAAAGCGAGTGGACGTGGCGTTCCGGTTGAGGATAGTCGTAAAATTGCACAAGTTAAAAGTCCACTCGTAAGACAAACGTATTATCTCGTTGTTGCTCCTTTTCTCCTCAATGCCGGGTGACTGTCTCGACCGCAATTACAAGCCCTTGCTTATTCAGACGGTTAACATGAGTGGCCATTATCGCGGGGATTACGTAATTTGACGGTTTGAATTCCAGGGAGAATTAAATACCATAAAATAATGTTAACCCTAATGGTAAGATGGGGTCAGATTGACTTCACGGCTTCGTTTATTTTACAGCGTACACGCGTTGTTTCTCTTCTTAAGTTTCATGTTATTATTTACTTCTCTTTTCATACATTGATTACGTAAAAAATGAACAAAACAGAGCATGGGGTAGAATCCGAACCCACTTTCCAGGAAAGTTGAAAATCCACCTTGCCGTTAGAGGGTTAATAGATGTAGAGAATGGAAGTTAAATCAGTGAATAAATGACAGAACGGTACTCTGAGGCTTCTCTTGCCGACGAAAGGTCA